GATCAACTGGGTCAGGCCATTGGCGGTCAATTTGGTCAGCAGGCCGTAGATCTCCTGAGAGGCTGGGCTGCGAAGCGAGAGATCCAGTCTCCATGGAATCACTACCGTCGTCTGCTTGACCAACAGGTCGGCCTGAAGAGGTTTCAAGGCCGAGAAACGACGGATCAGGTCTGACTGGCCACCGAGCAGGTGGATCCTTTGAATGCGCCCCCCATTTTCTTAAAAAAACTGCACCAGTCAAGCCACGCAGCAGGTCACATGTCACAAAGCATCCAGCATATCAATTACACGATCGAACTCCAACAATAGGATGGAAATGCGAAGCAGCGGTGATTTTTTGATCTTCTCGCAGCAGCGTATCGCCATAGTCTGTCAAGCTCGTCACGTCGACTCGCCAAACCAGAGCGGCTGCGCTAAAGCGATCCAAGTATGCAAAAGTTTCATGAGATGCTCGTCACGTCGACTCGCCAAGCGGCTGTGCTGAAGCGATCCAAGTATGCAAAAGTTTGATGACATGACACAGTCACCCGCGATCATAGATCACAGACGATCAGTGGCTCAACCAGCAACAAGTCTGATCAGCGCATGTCTTATCACAGTGCCAGTACGGATTCCATCGGCACATCGCCGCTGTGCCAGGCATCGCTGTGACGTTCCTGCTCGGGCATCCCGTCACGCAGACCTCGTAGGCGCTTCAACGGCCTCTCCCAATCCTTGTCAAACTGAAAGCCTGCATCTTTGGATTCAGTGGCGCTGAGAAATTCCCAGAAAGCTGTCACTTCAGGAACTCGTTCTTGCGCGACCGGCACATGCCACAAAACCGAGTATTCTCCAAAACTGTCGGTCTGGCCAAGGACAACTTGGAAGACTTGACCTGCGGATCCTCGGAGCATCCAGTTCACGGCCGAAGAAGGGCCAGCGCAACGGAGCTTGGCCCGAAAAGGCATGTCCGAAGCGTGCTGCGACAACAGGCAATCCACAGACCTCTTGACACGAATGGCCGAGGTCGTGTTTGGGTCCTGCTGCAAAGCTTCATCATCTGCCAAGTCGACCTCGTTGAAGGCAACCAAAGCCCGCATTGCGGTGCAATCGATACGCCCATGTGTCACTGGGCGTTGCAACAGCTCCGGTGAGGTTGCGGCAACTGCTTCACGTGTTGTGACCAAACAAGGTTCCAGATGCCGAAGATCAAGTTCCAGCACTTCTTGGTATTCATTGCCACGGAATGTGAAACGACAAGTCCATTGAGCACTTCGAAACATATCACGAAGCTGCGTTCTCAAAGTCCGCGTGTCCTGCAACGATGTGGTCAGCTCAACGTTCAGCAGCTTGGCAACAGCCAAAATACCTTCATGATAGATCATCAGGCTGCACTGTGCATTCGAGTCTGCCACCGTGAGTCGCAGAGCAAGTCGACGCTCCGTTGGCGCAGTGGCGAGGTGCGGTTGGACAAAATGTTGCACATATATCTATGTATCGCATGTACATATCCCGCACTGTCTCCTGGGAGGATGTTTCTTAGATCATATTAGATTTTCTTAGATTTTCAATGATATCTGCTGTATTTGCTACAAAACCAATGTTCCGAAACCAGAAAACAAAAAATGCCAAAAATGCCAATGGCAGTAGCTCAGGTTGCGTCGCTAGTTAGTATGCAACATCCACAAAACATAAAATCTGAGACATAAAATCTGAGATCAAAGAAAGCCAAACAGACAAAAATTTGTTGGACGAAATTTGACACTAGTTCGTTGCTTCGCTGTAAGCCGTCTACAGTCACACAGTCTGACGGGCACTCTCGCTCTGGCACTGCACTGTGCGTGAGTCTTATCGTCTCCAAAACACAAGCAGTCTTGCTGTCTTGAGTTAGTCATTGCCACTTGAGTCACGTAAAGTACATATCAAAACATGCCGGAGTGACTTGTCAGCATTCGTCAGCAGACAGACCTAAACAACAACATTCTTCTTTGTGACCAAAGCACATCTGTTCTAGACGTTATCCCTATAGATGTATAGACTCGGAAGTTCAACCAAGTTCGTCACGTCCACTGATCCTCAAAATCGTGCAAAATTGTTGAGGCCGTGGCATGGTGACTTGTCAGCAGACGAACCTCAGCAGGCAGCTTTTGATCATCTCACTCTACAAACCAAAAACCAGCTAGAAGTTCAGCAGAAGTTCAGCACAAAAATGAAACTCCACCATCATCATCAACCAAAAAGGCCCAGACCTTGTAACCTGGGTCTCCGCGACAATCCGAAACAGCTGCGAATGCAATCGGCTGCGAACGCAACCGACACAGCGGCGGGTCAAATCAGTGCTTTTGAACATGTCACCAAAACATGTCAGGTACACAATGGCTGTGGAAATCACAATGGGAGTGGCGCACAGAGACGAGGCCGCAATCATGAGCACGCAGTGACAACACTGGCCACGTAAATCACAATGGCAGTAGCGCAGAGACGGGCTTCACAAACGCCCTCGCCGCAGCATTTACACTCCGCTTACCATACAGTGAGAACCATTGCTTTGCAAAACACAATGGCAGGGGCGCAGAGACAGGCTTCTCAAACATCCTCCCCGCAGCACTTACAATGCGACTTGCAGGGGCCCCCAGCGGCGACAACGCGCGCCGCAGCCCCTTCTGCAG